AGAGTGTTACCTCTCCACCTTCTCAACAGCCCTGGGGCTGGTATTTAAAGACCTGGTCATTTTATGCTGAATCCCTAGTCAAAACCTCAGGTATTTGCTATTTGTCTGTCTGATACCTGTGTGAAGGCAGGAATCCTTGATGTCAAGAGCTGCACAATGGTCTCTTCGAGGCAGGGGATTAAGTTCTCAAGCGTCCTGCATTGAAGAGCTTTGATGAACTGCTTCTGTTCTTTTGCGTGTTTAGGATTAGGTGGAAATGAATCCTTTATTGGGATAGAGGAGTATTTCTTACAATTCTTCTAGCTTCTAGCAAAGGGCATTAAGTATGCTTCCCTCTACAGAGTAACAACCATATTTTGCAAAGAAGCCTCATTAAAAGATTTCCAGTGGAAGAGAAGGAAAAAGAGTTGAGGCTGATCTGATCAGAAACTCCAAGGAGGAGCCCTGAAGCGCAGCCCCAGCTCAGTTACCCGTACAAGGTTGACCTAGGCTACGGATTAGTCAGCCACCTCCTGATTTAATGCCACTGCTGCCATCCACATGGCATAGCACGGACTGCTCTTTACACCAGGCTTTGCCACAACCACAGCTGCTCAAAACCGCTATGGAAATGTCTACAAACTGTTAAGCATGTAGTCGAATCCAATTTACATACGTCCGGGATGTTCCACTGCTCTTCTCTTGAGCGAGCTGATGTGACACAATGCTAACTGCAAAATACGAGCCTTGGAAAGGCCACAGGAAAGGGTGGGATCAGCAGGGCACTGGACTCTGGCTCTGTGGGTTGGGGTCACCCTAAGCCTGCAGGCAGGTGCTGCAAACGGAGTCTGGAGCTGGTCGACTCATCCCAGCCCCTCGTTTAGGCAGAGCGGAAGGGTTGTGGGAGCCTTCGGGGCACACATGTGGATGTCGAGAAAGCCTGTCCACAGGGTCAGTTATTCTGAGGGGATTTCCAGCGACTATTCAGTAGATTGTAGAAACCCAGGGAGTTTGAAGAGACTCCAGTAGCTTTTACTGTTTCAGGAATTTCATCAGCATTTTCCTAAGAAGGCATCAAGGGGAATGCTTTCTTATCTGTCCATGCGATCCTGTGGTGAAGCCTGATGTGCAAGCTCAATATTACAGAGAAGGAATGGCTCAGTTAACCATACTATGGTGCAAGAATTTCCCACATCAAATGGCACTTACAGGGCATGATTTCCTATGATGCTTTGCTGTTTGTTTCAAGTTTTTTGAAAAGGAGCCATGGTAGGTGTCATGAGCTCAAAGTCTTCCCTATTTTGTAACCAGCAATATCCCAAACAACACAAGGAATGTGTCTTTCTGGAAAGTGTGTTTATCCTTGCTTCTTCCTTTTGTATTGGGCCAGACTGTATGATCTTAGCATGTTCTAATTTCCCAGAATTGCAGAAATAAAGAAAAGCCGAACAATATTCGCAAATCTTGTGCTGGAACTAAATATATTCTGTCCCACTCTCCTGAAATTAATAAAGAGAAGTGAGGCAGATATTCTTGGATAAAGCCTGCTGCGTGGCTAATGACAACCAGTCTTCTGGGTTTTTCCCCATAGGCTATTAAAAAAGAGGATAGATGATCTCGCTGGTACCACAATGTTTAACTTTTCTGCTGAGCCGCTCTGAGAGCGGAGTCCCCATCTATCAGTGCTGTCCCTTGGACAAATTCTTTACAGGTAAGCCATTGCACTTAAATCTCTACACACCAACATCTCCACTACCTGACTGTGGCACAGAATCTCAGCTCTTGGAGGAAAATAGTTTTGGAGACATACCAGAAGGAGAGGTTGGAGACAAAAAACCCAAACCAAACCAGCTCTGCCTCTGGAATCAGCTCTAAACTCACCATCGTTGCATGACAACAGTGAATGAATACACCACCGAAGTACCTGAGCTCTTTGTCCACGGTACCAAAAGGATCACGAGAAACTTATAATGCAGGCTGAAAGTATCTTGAAATTGTTCCAGCGATACCACATCTGTGGTTGCACTTAGTCAAGAAGCATCCACAGAGGTTTTTTTAACACGACTCACAGCAACTTTGTCCCAGAATGGAAGCTTGATGGAGTGGGACTGAGACAGAAGAAGGAAAGTGACTGGAAATGCATACATCTTTGGGGGATGAAGAGGCACTCAAGAGGGTTCCTGTTTATAACAGCATTAATCAAGCATCAGCACTTTTTGGTTGGTTCCAAAAGTCAAAAGTATTAGAGGAATAAACTCCGACATGGCGAACAGCTGGCTACAACTGCTGACACCAAGGATGTAGGAGGAACAAAACCCAGTAGCATCTGAGCCCCCCACCCCAGTACCAACGAAAGCTGTGAAGAGTCTTTACAGCCGAAAGCTCAGGAAACTTTTTACTGGTACCATTTCATTTTCCTTCCCCCACCTTTGATTTGATGCCTCACCAGCCTGGGGGCTCTTCTCCCTTTCTGCTGCTATTGTTACACTGAACTTTGGCAGAGGCAGTACCTGGAATTAGATGTGAGCTCTCAGGGGCTGTGGGGTTGTCTTCATTGATGTGGTGCAAGGCCTGCACTAGAGAGGACTGAGGACTCTGCCAATGAAAGTGATGACAAGAGGGGCTCGTGATGCAAAACGGGCCCAGATGGTGCCAACTGAGTCACAGATTTTGACTGAGGCACTAATTGGCATGGAAATCTCTCAGGGGATGATGCTGAGGGCAATACCAAAGCCAAACATAGGGTTTGAATCTTCACCCTTTTAGTCAATGAAGACTTTGCTGCCAAGCCACTACCCTAAACCTGTATTTGTTAGCCTAAGTACTCAAAGCAACGTTCAGCCTTACAAACCTCGTTGATTAAGGCCACAGGCCTAACTGCTGTGCTTTGCCATACTGACTGCAAACACACATCATAGTGGTGGGTGTGAGCTCAGCCTAAGCATGTCAGCCACCAAATAAAGGCTCCAGAGAGATGGACTCCCTTCTACTGCCCTTCTTGGTTTCACTGCCAATGATCAATGCCACATTAAAATGTCTGTGCAAAGACAAATAAATGAAATCTAACTGTTGCAAAAAAAAATCTTTGGAGGATCTATGGATTTTCTCAGGCTCTACACTGTGGAAGAGGCCCTTCAGGCTTCCCTCACTGACTAAAGTGTGTCAGTCAAGAGGAAGTGCTCCTCAAGCCAAAACAAACAAGTGGAAGGTCTGTGAGCATGACATGTGAACCCTCCAGACAAGCTCAGCAAGGCGATTGTCTCCAAAAGGAACATACAACTGCAGATGAAAAGCAACTACGCTGCATTAAGGTAACTTCAGCTTCTGGCAGTAAATTCGTTGCTTGGGCTTGTACGAGTACAATCTGTGCAGCAAAACTACTTAATTTGAAATAGAAACATCTCTGTATGTCAGAATAACATTAAGGCACGGTCTTAAATCTGTCAACTAAAATTTACAAGGCTTTTCTTGTTTCATTTTGTATGGGTATTATGCTGGTCACAGAACAAGTGATAAAAGGGTACTATCAGATTAAAAATAATGTATTTTTCTAAAAATTGTCATAGCTGTTATAACTAACACCTCGAGTTCTCAGAACTACGGTGCTAAAACAATCCAATTTGCATTATGCCTTTGATGATATTTGCTTAGTTGTGTTCCTCACCAGCTGAACAGTGTTAAGAGATTGGCATTTTTCCTTTCGATATATTCAATCATTAGTATTTAAAGTATTTCCTCATTTGAGCTTTGTTCACTGGTAACTGACTGAAGTCAAGCTGAGCTATAAGGATTTTTTAAGAACAAGCTTGCCAGAGTTTACAAAAAAAAAACCCAAAATTGGAAAGGAAGCTTTTCTTTGCAGCTTAATTATGCGTATTTAAAGCTCCAGTAGAGCTGATAATGTTGCTTAAAAACTTCTCTCTGCTAAGGAGGTTACAAATATAGCCTGAATTGTTATAATGGAAGGGACCTCAGAACAGCCTCTTAACCTGAACTTTAGTGTTGGCAACACAGGGTGTTCTGATCGTCTAGAGGTCTTCCCCCATGCCTCCATTAATTGCTCTAAAACCCCTGTTGCATGGGATAGAGACAACAGAATTTCAGCTTTAGCTTTCAGCTTCTCTGTGGTTTTATTTCTAACTGGTTCACAGGGAACACTTCTTTACTTAAACATACTAACCCTGATGTGAAGATGACAAAACCAATTTGGACTAATTGCAGGTACATGGAACTCAACTGATGCAAGTTATTCAGCAATGCCCCTCTTCAAACTACAACACAAGGAAGCCTTTTGCTGAGGATCTCAGGATTTTATAAGCTCACATCCACCCACAGAAAGTTGCCCTGCCATCTCCAATGAAGTGGCATTACCCCCATTTTCATACATATATAAAAGGGGTGCAGAAGAGATCGGTTACCCACCCAATGTGGGTAACAGCACTGCCAGGAACCTGGTACCCACCTCCCTCCTCACAACCCATAGACTCAGCTGCTCCTCTACAGCTGGGCTTGCAGAAGGCTGTTCTTGTAGCATTCAAAACATAGAATAATCCACCTACCTTCAAAGAACTCTTACAGAATTAAAGTCTACCTAAGACTATTTATGTTCTGTTCCATGCCTGAGGGGCTCTTCCCTCTCCAAATACATATTAGCTTTCTGTGACATCTAATCCTGACTCCTAAGAGTCTGTGCTTAACATAATCATGCAATGTTACAATATACTGCTCATAACCAGCAACTGATGGGCCTCCCAAAGTTGGCTGCTTCAGTCTTTAGCGCTAACTTCCCTTAGCCTAGATGGGGAATACCAATTCAATGTTAAGACACTGTTGAGACCATTACTGAGATTGCATTTGGGTAACTGCAATGTGAGCTAAATACTAAGAAAAAAAAAAATTAATTAAAAACTCCAAAGCCCATAATGTCAATAACACAAGAGTTCAAGAGCCAGCAGGCCGATCAATACAATATTCATTAATATGACACCATAAAAAGCTTTTTTGTTTAAGAGATTGCCTACCTGTAAGGAGAATATGGGTCAAAACATGTCTTGGTGACTTCTGTTATCTCTGGGTTACAGCATTCCCCACCATCAAAGTTGTATCTCTCGTAATTACAATCCATGTCACACACCCCGTTCTGCTTCTTCTTGTTGAAGAGCGTGTGGCGTACGTGTCGGCAGTCTCCGCCGTCGTAGCCAGTCAAGGTGTGGTTGCACTCAGGATCACAGTTCTCGTCCCCAATCTTGCTGATATCACAGTTGGCCAGGATGAGTCGGTGGCGAAGGGAAGAGTTCTTCACCTCCAGCACTTCCAGCTCCCAGGTGATGTTGTAGCGGCTGAAAGCCTCATTCAAATGCTGATGCTGGAACTCAATCTGCTGTTGGCTGACAGTGGGGTTCTGGTGCTTGTCATCATAGAGATTTACCACCCGGTAGCGAACGGTTTTGTTGCGGCGGAAGCTAGGGAGCTTGTTGTAGCTGGCGATGACGTCCGTGTTGTCACAGACTGTCTGACCGCAGAGAGGAGGGTCTAGGCTGGTATCCAGCAAATAGCCGTGATGATAGCTGAACTTGCTCTGGGGACTGCTGCCATCCTTCATGGGAGACCAGGTGTTTCTCACATTCAGTAAACTGTCTTGAAGAACTAGCTGAGGTAGAGGCGTGTCTTGTCTGTGAATTGCCTGGCCCATGTCCAACAAGATCTCCTTCTGAGACCGGGCTGTCCTCCAGAGGCTGAAGTGCTCTACGTAACCCCGATAGTTCTGGTTCAGGGCATTTCCTCCAACCATGAGCACCTTGCACTTCAAGGTCAGAAGACTGAAGATGCTGCCCACTTGCTCTCCACTTGTGGCCACCTGGGCACCGTTCACGTAGAGTTTCATCAGGTGCCCGTCATACGTGGCAGCCAGATGCACCCACTGGTTGGGGAGGTAGCTGCGATGTGCTGCAATGGTGGTTACTTTGCGAGCACGGTCCGTCTTCAGAGAGAAGAAATAGCGGGGGTCTCTATTCCCCTGGTCACTGACGGTGTTAATCCCCAGGACCCATCCTCGGTCACGGGAGGTGTAAGAACATTTGTCATATAGTCCTATGTGCCCCCAAAAAAGAAAGATGAATAAATAAGGATGACAGAACAAAGAAATTAGTGTTTCAATTGTATAAATACCTCTCTATATATGTATATACACACACTCAGCTACATATATTATGAAGTTAGTGTACAAGAAAGACATTAAATCATCTACTGCATGATTGTGGGAGGCCTTGGTAAGACTTCCTATTAAAGGTCAAGATTTGCCAGTGGTGTGTACAAGTGGGATTCCCCTTATCCTGATTGAAGACCAAAACTCTTTTGCAAAATATTGTACCGTGCGTTTGGTTCCTACCTTCACTCCAGCCATACATCCCTGGCTGAAAATAAGAACAGTCTTGAGAAGCAATCCTTGTTGACTTCCCTCATACCCCTACACCCTACATCTAACACGGTCCAGAGGAGAAATATGTATAAAATTTAAGTAGTACACAGTTTGAGAAACACTGAGCAGCTGCAATAATTTTGGTAGGATCAAGCACCCATATTCCTGCAGAGAGCAAAAGGGATGCCTTCAGACTACCTCCAAATTCATACCCAATAACAACCAGTAAGGAAATGGCATACATTGGTATGCTGGATGTGCTGGACAAGGTACATACCACACCAGGAAAGGGCAAGAAACACACGTGGATGGACACACACATTCAGAAAAATTCCTGCCCCTCACACACATACCTCATAACTATTTGGTGTGCCGCAGGGAATATACACTAATGATTCCTCTCATGGACACAGCGTGGATACACACCTAAAGCTCTCTCAACCAGTGCTCAGACAGCTCCAAGCAGTGGGAAGAGCCCACGCCTTCTCAGCCTGGGACACGAGGTTTGGCAAGATAAAGACATACATTTCCATCTTTCAGTTCTCAAAGGCCAAGGGCTGCTGGGACATCCCTCCACTGAAAAAAGAATCGTTAGATCCTTCAGCACCAAATGGCCTTTCTACTATCAGCACATAGAAAACAATCCTTCCCCCAAGCCTTCACTTCCAAAAGCCTAAACGAAAATCATAAATCTGACAGTTCAGTCCTCATGAAAAGACTAAATATCCCCTTACCTCACCCCTGCACCCTAACCTTCCCAGCACTACAACCAAATAACATCTTCTGCTTCTACGTTGCTCAACAGCCATCTGTTAACAATCACTCATTAACAGTGCAGTCTTGTCTAGTATCAACAGAGCAAAGGTTACAGGAGCATTCACTGTATTTTTCCTCCCCTCTCCCAGCACCCACCTTCCCCCCTTCTCCTCACACCCTTCCCCTCTCCTCCTCCTCCCCCTGTAAAAAAAAGTCTTCTGATGGGAAAGCTAAAAAAATTTAAACAGGCCTTTTTTTCTGCACGCTGGTATTTTGCTAGGGACTCTGAGCTCCCCCTTTTCCTGTTTCCTTTGGAAGAAAGATCCCAGGGTTCGGAAGGTAATGTGTTTATTCATCTGTAGGGCGCACTCAGTTCAAAACCTTTTCGAGACCAACTTCTAGTTTATACTGCTACTTCTGATCATGAGAAAGGAGAGGAGGAGAAGCAGAGAAGGAAAAGTCAAATGCTAAAAAAAAAAATAATACATTTGCTGGGATGGATATTTACCTGAGAGCCACGTTAGGAAAGCCAAAGCTACAAATGACCTTCTGGAGTCTGGCTTTTAAGCCTTTTTTTAATTATTATTTTATTTATGGAATAAATACTGTCACAAAGCACTGATTTTCAGATGTACGAGAGCCCATAAACTTCTGCATTTTTATGAATCTGAAAAGAAGGGTATTGTCCAATGACAGTGGGTGGATAATGCTGCAACGAATGAGAAGACAGCTGGCAAGGCAAGTCCCTTTTCCAAATAAGTAATAAAAATCTCAGCTTATTGTAATAAGATCATTAGAGCTGGTCAGACATTTTGTAGAAGAGTTTTTGCCTGCCAAGAAATGCCAGCATGGTGAGAGCAGAAAAAGTGATGCACCCTGGAGAAGGTGCCGGTCTTCAACAAGGCCAGGGGAACCCTAGGGACTCCCTCGGCAATTTTGACTGCGCACACTGAAGGCCCACCCCTCCCAGCCCCGCTCCCCACCATCTCCTGCCGCCTTTGCCACCCAGTGACTGAATTCCCCAGGCCTGCGGAGCACAGGGCAGCTGCACATCCGATAGCTGCTCCACCTGCTCCTCCATCCAAGATCCCCGCTCTTGGATGCACGGCTGGAAGTCCTGGAACAGGCTCCTAGGGTCTCCAGCTCTGGGGAAGTCCACCATACAGCCTTTAGGGTCAAGGTTGTTGGCTTTATGTACAGACTGGGGCTGGAAATATTCCCCCAAAGAACTAATAAATTACCGTGGAATGGAAATCGAGTTTCCTAGCCAGCACTAAAGAACATCTTCCTCTCTCTCTGAAGTGCTGCATGATGATACTGATTGACCTCAGCTGAACAGATGGAGCTGCTGGAGGAACACTGCAGAATAGTAGCAATCCTCCCTTTGCCTTTGAGCATTTAAACCCTGATGTGATGCAACGTGTCTTGAGTTTGGCTCAAACAGCTGCCATCAATTTGAGATTTACAGGGAGCCAAAGGAGGGCAGAAAAAGAAAAAAAAACCTGTGACAATAGGGACAGCACTGAACATGCCAGCATGAAAGTTGCTGAACTAAAACAGTCTACTCTCCCAGTTCCTTACATTTTCTAGTTTAGGGCAAAGGCCATTACTGCATCCATATGCCACATATAGTATTCTTTTCTCAAACTTTTACTATTACAGACATCCAACTCCTGATGAAAAGATGGATTGAACACAATTCCTTCAGCAGCAAGACTTGTTTTATTCTTGAGAGAAAAAGAGTAAGAAAAGGGACAAGAACCCCACACACCCCATAACTTGCAAAGTCGTACCAGTTCTTTATGACCTTCTTTTGCTTGTATGCTGCGCCTACTTTCCCAATCCTTCACTTACTTCTGGCTTAGACGAAGGCTCCTCCAGCTAAGGGAGTGTCACTTTTCCGTTTTGTCCCCAGCACAATGAAAATAATTTCAGCTGGGACTTTGGATGTCATAATAAAAGAATTTATTACTTCTTCTATGACAACTAATAAGGGCAAAGCCATTGGAAGAGGGACATGTGAAATAATTGCCAGAACTTCTGAAAACTGAATAATCTGATGTTTTCACAATTTATTTCAATTTAGTAAAAGGTTCCATAGCCATGAGTTATTTCTCAGACATAATTAAGAACATTTTAAACAAGAAGAGGCCTCTTTTACCCCAAACAAGGCTGGTTTTGAGCAAAATCCCCCCTCACAATGGTTGACACTCCGAATTTCAAAATTCAGCTGTGACCACAACCAGCATTTACATGAAAAACATACAGAGTTTAGATTCTCATTTACACTGAGATTTCTTTACAATAATGTGGTAATGGACATTTTTAGCTACTTAATATCCTTTTACAAACCAAGAGTGGTGTAAAGAGGCCTCATGGCAAATGAGACTCAAGCCAGTGACTGCAAAACCACAATTTGGCGAATACGCCTGAAGTCTCTGAGCCAAGAAATGGTGCGAAATAAAACTGATGTTTGTTTTCCCCACAGCAATTAGATTAAAAAAATATGTACAGCAAACAGTTTTCCTCACTTCTGCTTGCCCTGAGTTGCTAGAAAGGGATGGAGCTACAGCTGAGAAGAATACTGATAGCCCTTAGCCTGAATTAATTTTTCACTGTAAAGCTCCTGTTCCTGAAACCTAAGGGATTAAAATGGAATTTTATCTTTTATTGAAAAGGCAGGAGAGGCGCTAGTTCAGCTTTCCAGTAAGAGTCACTGGTAACCTTGCTTCCCCACAGAGAAGTGAGTCACTTCTCAGACAACTCCAGAACAGCACATGAACAGAGTAAGATGCCACGTTCCTGGATGCTTGGCCAAAGACAGACTTTGATGGCCCACAAGGCTCCTAGCAGTCCTGTGATGTTTGTCCCTTATAGGAAAAGGAAATGCCTAGGCATCAAAAGAGTGGGGAAAACTGGAAAATTAAGCTCCAAAGCACCAGTGTAAAAAGCCAAACATGAAAAACCAGAAATAGTCTTTCTTTTTTTTTTTTTTTTACAAATGAAATCTCAGTTCTCTCACTACTGACCCACCACCGCTCCAGTATACAACTGTCCATCTGACCTCTCCAGCAGGCCCTAACCAAGGCCAGAGTATGATTTATAACCAGTTTGCTTTCAGAACTTCGCCAGGGACTTAATTAGAGCCACATCCTTGCATGGGCCCTCTGCACTGGACAGGATCTGGCAGCGCGTAGCATCAGCTGCTGAACTTCTGGAAGAAAGTCCTGGGTGAGGACACGAGGCATTGCTGCAACCAAGCTCGCGATGCCGAGATGGGAGCAGATATCTATCAGCAGCAGCCACAGAGAAACGGGAACTCACAGCTAGAGGCTGTAGCCACTGGAGTCCTAAGTAGCTCTGTGGGCAGAGGTTGAAAGAAGAGAGGCTGAAGTAGCCCATGCAAGCTGCTGTAATCCACTTTAATATTATCAATAACAGACTCCAGGCCTCCCTCCCACACTTCAGTGCAGTTTCTCGTGTCTTGTTAAGAGCAATCTTCCCGGTAATCAGCCCAGACATAGAATTACCTAAGAATTTAATTCTCTATGCAGAAAAATAATTCCCCACTTTGCTGAGCAACTGGAAGAGGGGGGTGGGAAAAAAAAAAAGAAAGCCCTGTTATGCTTTTCTTTCTAGGAGCCGAGAGGCTGGGGGAAGGGGAAGAAGGAGGTCAGTCTGACTTTGAACACATCAGGTGTGCTGCCGAGCCCGTCACGGCCGTGCAAGGCAGAACGGAAAACAGTGCCCCACACTTCTGAAAGTTGGCCGTGCCTGTTTTGCTGGGAGACTACAACCAGAGGTGACAGGACTCAGTTATGAAAGGGGAATTTAGGTCAACAATCAAAGCTGCAGTCAGGGGGCCCAAAAACAGGGAGCTAAAGGTTGGGGCTGTTTTTTTCTTTAGCATGCTTTAATCGTTTAGTATCAAAGCACAGAGGAACGCTTGAAAGAGCAAATATTCTACAGGAACCTATAGAAAGCTTTTATCTGTCCAG